CTGCCCGGAGCCATCGCCGCAACCCCGGTGCACAAAGTGCCATGCGCGGGTCAATACATGCAAAGCCTAATGCACACTGCGATGCAGAGTGCAGTATGTGCAATGTCCAGTGTAAATGTGCAAAGCCCAGTGCAACATCTGCAAGGACCGGTGCACTAAGTGCAACGCCCAGTGCAGTATGTACAGTGCCCAGTGCAATTAGTGAAATGCTGAGTGCAATTACTGCAATACAGTGCAATACATGCAAGGCCCTGTGCAGTAAGTGCAATGCACAGTGCATTTAGTGAAATGTTCACTACAATCACTGCAATGCCTGGTGCAATAAATCATAGAATCAGACTGGTTTGGACCTAAAGATCTTCTAGCTCCAACCCTCCGCAAGGGCAGGGACACCTCCCACTAGATCAGGTTGCTCCAACCTGCCCTTCAACACTTCGAGGAATGGGGCAGCCACAGCCTCCCTGGGCAACCTGGGCCAGGGTCTCATGAAATGTAATGTCTTGAGCAGTAAGTGCCAGCACAGAGCAAGAAATGAAACGTCTGATGTAATTAGTGAAACATCCACCTCAATATTTTAAATGCCCAGTGCAATTGGGCAAGTGCAAAAAGTGCAGTGCCCAGTGCCATAAATTAAATGCATGGTACAATTAGTGAAATGCCTGATGCGACTAGTGAAATGCTCAGGCAACCAGTCACACGCCCCATGCAATCACTGCTGTGCGCTGCAATTCACAAAAGGCACCCTGAAACGGTCTAGGGAGACTCATGGTCTAGTCAGACTCCTGGTACAAATATTATGATGCAGTTTATGGCATGCCTGGATGAAGTGAACACACATCACCATGGGCAATTAATTAAGTGTATGGGGCAATTAGTGAAATGCACACTGAGACTGGCAGAACACATCCCATGGTTAATGAGCTGCTCAGCGCATTTACTGGCCCACCAATAAATAATTGTGTTGTGCAAATACTGCAATGCCCAGCCTCAGAGCTGACAGGCCCAGAGCAATGAGAGAGCCGCCTGGTGCAGCCAGTGCCACACACAGTTCAGTGAATGAAATGTTCTGTGCAATCAGGGCATTCCACTGAGCGAGTAGCAAAACCCCTGGGACGACTGATGACACCGTGCTGCTGCTGAAGAGCTCAGAGTGCACTGAGCAGAGCCTGGTGCCATCAGCTCAGTGCTACACGGGGCACTCAGCAGCATACAGGGTGCTCGTTCAACATGCAAGGAGTGAAAAGCACTAGCATATTTTCCAAGGATTTAGGAAAATGCCTGCTGCAATTAGGAAAGCTCCTGTTGCACAGGGCATTTACTGGCAATTGCTGCATCCAGGGGAGTGAAAACCCTCAGCAGCTAGGACCATGCATGCTGTGTGTTGCAGCCAAGTGTCATCAACAAACTGCATCTCCTGCCCCTTTGTACCCTGTGATAGGACAACGGGCAATTGATTAAAACTTGAGCATGGGAAGTTCCACCTCAAAATGAGTAAGAATTTATTTACTGCCAGGGTGACAGAGCCCCAGGACAGGCTGCCCAGAAAGGCTGTGGAGTCTCTGGAGAATTTCAAGACCTGTCTGGATGCCTGAGTGATATGCTCTAGTTTTTGATACTGCTGTGGCAGGAAGGTTGGACTCGATGATCAGAGGTCCCTTCCAACCCCAAACATTCTGTGATTCTGTGAAACAGCAAATGCCAACTGCACTGGGTGCTCCTGCAAGGTGCAGGGCAGCAGCAGCAGGATGCTGGGTGCACCTGGGAAAGGGGCTGTGCAAGGCCCTGGCAAACGGCATGGAGCATTTACTAGCATGATGCACTTTGCAAAGTGCAGTTAGCAAACTAGGCAAAATCCAGCAAAGGCCTTGGGGGCATTTCAAGCAATACCACAAGCAAGATGCCCAGGAGCTTCATTTTGGCCAAGAGCCCTCTCCTGGCCAACCTGTGTGTGACCGCCAGAGCAAGCCAGCCCTGATCTCGGAGGGATTCAATTGCCCAAACTGGTTGGAATTGGCCCCAAAATATGTCCCCATGGCTAAGCAGGCAGTACCTTCGTGGGAGCAGTTGTTGTTCAAGGCAGGGGAGAAGGCATAGAGCTCCCGCAGCAGGATGGGCTCTGTGCCCCCACCTTCGCCCTCAGCATCGGCCTGTGTCTCCTCCTCCTCATCATCACCCTCAGGGTCAGCCTCAGGGTCAGGTGAACTCTGCATCAGCTCCTCCAGCTCCTCGATGACCTGCAGGGCATCTGTGTCCTCCACCTGCACCTGCAGCCCACCCACCCCCAGTGGCTAGCTCTAGCCGGTTGCTGAACCCAGAGCTGAATCCGGCTCCTTCCAGTCTTGTCTGCATCCTCCATCAGCACCCTGCATCTGCATCACACATCCTCTGCATCTTCTAACCTCCATCTGCACCCTCCACCCTCTACCCTCCACTTCTGCATCCAGCACCTACACCCCACCTTCCTATCTGCAGCAAAATCCCACCTCATCACCCACAACCCACATCTCCCTCTGCATCCCAACGGTGATAGGATCTGGCCTTCTTTTGTGCTGTCAGCAGGTGGTCATGGGACTGGGGTGGGCCAAGGCCACACTGGAGGCTGAAACCCAGCTTCTGGGGGACATGCAGACACACAGGTGGCCACCAGGCCTGTGTACCTCTTCCGCTGTCAGTAGCGGCTCCTCATTGATGCCTGAGTCTTGCTCACTCCTCTCAGTGAGCTCCTCCTCCTCCTTCTCGCAGAGCTGCAGGAGACACAGGCTGGGCACCCCTGGTGGCACCACAGGCCCAGCCCAGTCATAGCTCCAGGCATGGCCCTGGCACAAGGTGAGCCACCATGGAATCACAGCTCATGGGGACACACGGCACGGGGTGGGGGCTTGGCATGGGGACACAGATGGACACATGGATGGGGACACTGGACAGGGATACACTGGGTAGGGAGATGTTGAATGACAGTACTGAGTGGAGATGTTGGATGGAGACACTGGATGTAGAGATGCTGGATGAGGGCACTGGATGAATATGTTGGATGGGGATGTTCGATAGAGACATTGGATTGAAATGTTGGAGATACTGGAGACACTGGATGGGAACACTGGATGGAAAGATATCGGACATGGACAGTGGACAGAGAGAGATAGAATTGGTGGATGGGGAAATGTTGGACAGTGATGTTGGATGGGACTTTGCACAGGGATGCTGGAGATGGAGAGAGATGATGGATAGGGAAGCACTGGATGTGGAAGTCTTGCAAGGGGATTGATGGAGATGTTAAACGGCGAGTTGTTGGGTTGAGACACAAGACTAGGAAGTTGAACAGGGAGAAGTACAGGTATATTGGATGGAGATGTTGAAGAGATGTTTGAATTAATATACTTGATGGTGACACTGAATGGAGAGACAACGGATGATGACGCTGAATGAGGAAGAGGTCAGATGGAGACACTTGCTGGGGACACTAGATAGAGAGGTGATGGATGGAGATGCTGGACGGGGAGATATCTATCTTACCATCTTTCACAGTTTATTTCACCTTTTTAGCAGAAAATAACCCAAGAAATTGACTTTCTCTCTCCCCTTCAGCACCAGGACGTGTTAACACCCAAATGGGTGAAATTCAGTGGACTTGGGGGCATCTTTGCAGCCTTCCCACAACCCCAACTGCAGCTATTTGCAGCATTAATTCACTATGATTAATAAAACACCATTTTCGACCCCCCAAAATACACTACCTCCCCCTTGGCTTGGGGGCAAACTGGCAAAGATCAGATTGCCAAGTCAAATATTTCAGCTTGCCCGTTTCAGTGTGATTTCACCCTAGAATGTAGACATCCCAAAAATACCATTTGTGGGTAGTTTGATGGTTGCTGCGCCTTGGGACAGGCTGACAGCTGCCAAGCATTGCCAGGGGGTCATGCAGGGACAGGGGAGGGGGGAGCCAAGGGGGGGGCACAGCCCTACCTGGGGGTCGGTGCCACTGGGGGTCTCAGTCCCAGGGAGCAGCCAGGGTCGGGGAGAGCCCCGGGGAGTGAAGCCATCAGTTAGAGCATCCCAGACCCTGTGGGGAGGTAGGTGGTGAGTGGTGATCCCAAAATGGTGTCTCCCAGAAAGCCACCCCAAATGGGCATGCCAAAGGCGCCTCAAAACAACCCAAAATGCAGCCTTGGAACACCCTGAAATGCCTCCAAAATGTCCCAAAACAAAACTGAGATGACCAAACCATCCAAGAACACCTCAAATGCTGCCCCAGAAGACCCCAGATGATGTTCTAGAAGACTCCAACAGATCATAGAACGATAGAATGTGTGGGATTGGAAGGGACTTTCTTTAAAAGTCAGCTAGTCCAGCCTCTCCTGCAGCGAGCAAGGACCTTTTTAAATAGATCAGGCTGCTCAGAGCCTCATCAAGCCTTACTCTGTATGTTTCCAAGGAGGGGACCTCTACCACCTCTCTCAGCAACCTGTTCCAGTGCTTCACCACACTCACTGTAAAGAACTTCTTCCTTATCTTACTTAAATCTCTCCTGCTCTAGTTTAAGGCCATTGCCCCTCGTTCTATCGCACACGCCCTTGTAAACAGTCCCTCCCCAGCTTTCCCGGAGCCCCTTCAGACCCTGCAAGGTCACTATAAGGTCTCCTCAGAGTCTACTCCTCTCCAAGCTGAACAATGTCATCCCTCTCAGCCTGTCTCCATAGGAGAGCTGCTTCAGCCCTCAGATCATTTTTGTGGCCCTTCACAGGACTTGTTCCAACAGCTCCACATCCTTCTTATGTTGAGGACTCCAGAGCTGGACACAGTACTCCAGGTGGTGTCTTATAAGAGCAGAGAAGAGGGGCAAAATCACCTAGCTTGACCTGCTGACCATGCTTGCTTTTGATGCAGCCCAGGATGTAACTGGCCCTCTGGGCTGCAAGTGCACATTTTTTGCTCATGTCCAACTTTTAGTCCACCAGTTTCTCCAAGTCCCTTTCCACATGGTTGCTTTATCACATCATCCCTCAATCTGTATTAGTAATGAGGATTGCCCTCACCCAGGTTCAGGACCTTGCACTTGGCTTTGCTGAACTTCATGAGGTTCACATGGACCCACTTCTGCAGCTTGTCCAGGTCCTTCTGGGTAAAATTCTATTCCTCTGGAGTGTGGACCTCACCAGTCAGCTCGGTCTCATTTGCAAACCTGCTGAGGGTGCCTTTGATCCCACTGTCTATATTGTACAGGGCCCCTGTCCCTTAGGGACACCACTTGTCACCCCTCTCCATCTGGACACCAAGACGTTGACCACTACCCTCTGGATGTCACATTTATTTCCTTCTTTCTTTATTTATTTCCTTATTTATTTCCCTATACTTTCCTTATCCACTGAACAGTCCACCCATCAAATCTGTATCTTTCCAACTTAGAGAGAAGGATGTTGTGGGGGACTGTGTCAAAGGCCTTGCAGAAGTCCAGATAGATGACATCTGTGGCTCTTCCCTTGTCCACTGAGGTAGTCACTCCATTGTAGAAAGCCACTAGGTTGGTCAGGCAGGACTTGCCCTTGGTGAAGCCACGCTGGCTGTCACAAATCACCTCCATGTCCTCTATGTGCCTTGTCAGAGCTTCTAGGGAGGATCTGTTCCATGATCTCCCCAGGCACACAGCTGAGGTTGACAGGTCAGTATTTCCTGGGGTCCTACTTTCTACCCTAAATGATGTCCTAGAAGACCCTAAATGTTGCCCTAGAAGACCCTAGAACTTCTCAAAATATCATCATAAAATGCTGCCCTGAAATACCCCAAAGTACCCCACAAAGCTGCCACAGCACTTGGGATGCCCCCCAAAAATCACCATCAAAATACCCCCAAAAAGGAAGTTGCAACGTACCAAAATCTCCCCAGATTCCCCAAAGAAGCACCTTGAAATGCCCCAAAATCCCACCCCAAAACATCACCATGATGACTGGAAATACCCCCAAACATCCTCAAATGCCCCCAAAGGCATAGATACACTGCAAAACTCCCCAAAGTCCAAAGACCATCTGAAAGGCGCTAAAACACCTCAAAATGCTGCCCTGGAAAACCCCAGAATACTCCTAAGTTCCCAAAGCTCAAAAATGCCCTGAAATACCCCAGAAAGCCATCCTGAAACACCCCAAAAGGTCCCCAAAAGTCACAATGCCCCAAAATGCCTTGAAATGCTTCAAATTGCTACCCAACCCCCCTCAAATCTGAAGTGCCTCAAAATGTGACAAAATGCCACCTTTGATCACCTAGAAATTCTACAAAATGATATGCCCAAAAAAGTTCTCAAGTGCCTCAAAATACCACGCGGATCTCCCCAAACACCCCAAAACACCACTGGGAAAGACTCCAAAATGCTGTTCTTAAATACTGCCCAGAAAGACTCTAAAATCCATCAAAAAACTGCCATGACACCCCAAAATGCTGCTGTGATGCTCCAGGACACCCCCCTCAATTGTCCAACACCCCAAAATGCTTCAGCAATGCCCAAAATGCCTCAAAATGCCACCCTGAAACACTCCAAATTGTCACCTTGAAACAGCCCGAAAATGCCCCCAAACTGCCCTGAACACCCTAATATTGCCCTAAAACACCCCAGAATTTCCTTGAAACAACCCAAAACACGGTCCTGGAACATCCAAAAGTGCTGTTCTGAAATTAAATAAACCCAAAACACCCCCAAAAAAACAGCTGTGATGCCCTGAAACCTGCCAGAACACCCCAAAATCTCCCAAAATACAGCTCTGAAACACCTGGAAACAATCCCAAAACTGCCTCAAATCACCCCAAAACTGCTAAAAATTATGCCCAAATGCACCAATACACCCCAAAATGCACTGAAACACCCCAAAACTTCCCTCCCCTGTCCTTGTCCTCCTCCTTTGTACCACTATTGGGGTGTCCAATTGTCCACTGTGGGACTGGACCAATTTTTCCCAATTTCAGCCCAAAAAAGTTGTGTGGGGGAGGGTGAATAGAGGAAAAAAGGGAGGGGGAGTTGTAAAGAGGTGAAAAAGGGGGAAAATGGGGAAGGAGGGAGGGGAAAGGAAAATTGGGGAAAAAGTTGAAAAAAGGGGGGGAAAGAGCAAAAAAAGATGAAAAAACTGGGGAAAAAATGGAAAAAAGGCAGGCAAAGGGGGAAAAGGAAAAAAGGGGAGAGAGAGGGAAAAAGGGGGAAAAAAGAGGAAGAAGGAGAAAAATGGAAAATAGAGAGGAGAAAACAAGGAGTAATAAGGGAAATGGGAGAAAAAATGGAAAGAGGGAAAATAAGGAAAAAGGGAGAAAAGGAGGAAAGAAGGGGAAAAGGGGAAGAGGAAAAGATGAGAAAATGGGAATTAGGGGAAGGAGGAAAAGGGGTAAAAGAAGGAAAATGGAAAAATGGGGGAAAAGCATAAAAGGGAAAAAGAGAAAATATAAGAACAAAGGAGGAATGAATGGAGAACAAGATGGAAAAAGGTGAAAAAGTGGATTCCCCCAAAACGATGCCAAAACCACCTGCCCTCACACAACCCCAACCACCCTTTTTTGGATATTTACCTTGCCTGGATTCCCTGGAAAATCATAAATTTCCCAAATTAACACCCAGAAATACCCACATAAGAAACAAAACAACACCCTTATATTCCCATTTTTAACAAAACCACAGCAAATAAGGAAAAAAATATTAGTCCCCCCAAACTAGTGGTTTTTTTTTCATTCTTAAAGGGCCAGCACCCCTCAGGGTCAGGCAAGCAGCAGATTTCTGGGTTAATTATGGCCAGAATTGGTTAATAATGAGGGAAATGCAGCATTTTAAAGGCCTCATCCCATCCCCCGCCCTGCACACAGGGTGCATTCAAGGAGAAAAAAACTGCAACAAACCCTGTTTTGCCCAAACTGACCCAAAAAAAGCCACAATAAGTGACACAAAGTGGCTGCCGGCGACAGCACGGCGCTCCTGGCCCCCAGCCAAAAGTTTTTTTTCTCTGAAAAACGATCAATTGGTCAATTCTGAAAAGCATTTCAGCCTCAGTGGGTTGGAGAAGAAAAAGGAGAGGAAAGAAAAAGAAAAATTAAAAAAAAGAGAAGAAAAAGAAAAGAAAAAGAAAGAAAAGAAAAAGAAAAAAGAAAAAGAAAGAAAAGAAAAAGAAAAAAGAAAAAGAAAAAAGCAGAAGAAAAAGAAAAAAAAAGGAAAAGGAAAAGAAAGAAAAAGGAAAAGGAAAAAAAGGAAAAGGAAAAGAGAAAGCGAAGCAAAGAGATGAGATTTGGAGGCTTTGGTGTTGAAACCAACTGTTTTGCATGGTGAAGAAGAGCATTAGGAATAGTGACCTGGGCAATAATCCAAATTAAACACAACAAAGTCAACCAGAAAAGTGTTAAATGTATAAACACTGCTGCAAAAAACACACACAAATTTGGGCAAAAAATGGCATTGTCTGTAAAAGAAAAAAAAAGGGTTAAAATGAAAATTTCCAGTTTAATGCAAATGCCACTGTCCTGTGGCAGGACCACGGGGCCGGAGGGGGGAGGCTTTGACCTAAACTGCCTGCCCCCTGGCTTGATGAGGAGTTTGCACAATGCAAGCAGGAAGCTAAACTCTACTCACACCTTACTCAAGGTTTACACTCATCCCTCTTGGGGCATCTCCTCACATAGACTGACACCATCATGATCCCCCACAATGCTACATGGGGTATCCTGCTGTGCCTCCTCATAAGATGCCACGCAGCAACTCGAGGATACTATACAGCCAGTTGAAGTATGTTACAGTGCTACTCCAGGGTGCTGCAGAAGGCTGATTCCCATGTGGTGGAGATCATGCAAGCATGCAAGGAGGTGAAATAGTCTCCAGAGGGATGCTATTCATTGTATCCTACACTGCTACTCCAATGTGCTACACAACCACGCTGCAATGGGACAGGTGCATGCTGTAGGACGGAGTGTAGCTCATTACCATTACTCATTACTCAGGGCCCAAGGGTGGCCTACTTGTAGGATAATACTTAGCTGCCCCAAGGATCCTACACAGCTACTCCAGGCTGCTGCATGACTACGCTGTGATGCAGGGGGCTGAGCTGCATGCAGGTTGGATCCTGCTATCATACACAGCAGCACGCAGACCCTGAGGGGATACAACAGCACTATTCTTGACATGGTGTATGACCATGTCACAATGCAGGAAGCCAATCAGGGAAGTCTTGCAAGGGTGCAAGGAGGCACGCAGGCTATGAGGGGGCATACTCACAGGTTACTACACCGCTATGATATGTGGCATCACCACGCTGCAATGCTGGGAGCCATTTTGTACGCGGGGGGGTGTGGGTGGATTTTACAGATGTGTGAAGAATTATGTGCCCCCAGGAGTAGGGGACCTTACTCACTCCTCATCCTGGAGACGCTCCTCTTCCTCCTGTGCCTGGAGATGCCCCCGCACGGGAGCCAGGCCCTCGGTGGCTGCGTCATAGTTGCGGAAGCAGACAGTGAGCTTCTCATCAAACTCCTGCACCAGGTCCTCCATTGACTTGAAGCTCATCATCTCAGTCGAAAAGCTCTCCAGCTCAGCCAATGCTGGGTCTGTGGTGCGCTGTGGGGTTCCCCCATCATCCCCAGGCCCATCCTCGAACTCCTCCTCCAGGCTCACCAGGGGTGCCTCCATCCTCCTCAATGCCGAAGTGCTGCCTTAGCTGCAGGGAGAAGCTAAGCCGGTGAGGCACGGGGATATTCACAAGTTACACCACCAGAGCATCTATGCTGGCTGAAACTCTACTGACAGGTCTATTATAGAACCAGTAGTATTCCAACAGCACCTTTGTACTGTCTTCAGTGCATCTTAGCAGCATTACAGAAGTATGCTGCTATCTTCACATTACAGTAGTAGTACTTTGATAGCAGCAACAAAGTGTTGATAATAGCCCAAAAGTGTCTTAGTGCTATCCTGATAGTATACTACCTTTTTTACTGAAGTGGTAGCATCTTTGTAGTAACCTCTTACAATATCACTACTATCTTAGTAGTATCAATAATGTGCTGACAGTATCCCAAAAGTTTAAAAGATGCCCTGGTAGTATCCCGGTAATATCACTAGCTAGTCTAGTGCCCTTGTAGTATCTTAGAAGTATCCTACTGATATTCTAGTAGCATCCTGATAGCATCCTACTAAAAAATTAGTACTGTCCTCATGGTACCTTAACAGTGTTGTGATAATATGCTGAGAATATGAAAGTAGTACCTTGATAATATCTTAGTAGTATCCTAGTAATGACCCTTAGCAGTAGTATCTTAGGAATGCCTCTATAGTATTGTGAAAGTATCAGTAGTATTGTTGGAGTATACTGGTTATATTAGCAACATCCTGGTAGTACCTTTGTGCTATGCTGAGACTATCCTAGGAGCAGCCACTGAATAGCTCAGCATTGCCCTGATGTTCTAGTAGCACAGGCAGGAGCCTTATCCTACATCAAGAATGTCCCTATAGCTTCCTGTTTACATCCTAACAGTGCCCTGATAGTATCACAGTAGTATATAAGCAGGGTCCTGACAGGACCCTAAGTGGTGTAATGGTGTATACCTGTTACCTTAGTAGTGTCCTGATAGTATCTTGGTACTGCAATGTAATATCCAGGTATTATCTTAGCACTATGTTACTATGCTGAAAGCAACTTCACTGTTTCTGCTGTAGCATCCTGAGAGTACCCTGCTGGTGTGTTAGCACCGCTCCAGAGGTACCTTCAGAATAGTATCTCAGTATCAACTCTGGGAAGAGACACTGGAAGTTATCTTAGGAGAGTCCTAGTACCTTAGGAGTGTTCTAGCAGTATCCCAGTAGCATCCATATAATATTCTGAAAGAAAGTATCTCAGTGCCATTCTCAGTGTGCCTTAAGTGCTGTCTGCAAACAGCAGTTCAGTAAATTCCTTTGAGAATCTTAGTAGTATCCCAGTAGTATCCTTCGAGTATCTTAGCTGTGTCTTGATAGCATCTCACTACTCCCTCATGAGGTTACTGAGAGCATCCTGGCAATATCTTAGCAGTAGCCTTATAGAAGCAAGCAGTAAGCTAGTAGTAAGGCAGTACTAGCCCAGTAGAGGTGCCGCTACCCCAATCTCCACACCCAGCACCTGGCCCCCTTCCCCTGGAGAGGAAAGCCGAAACGCTGCAGCTTTGGGGAGAAAACCCTCCCAGACTGGGGCTTTGAGCACTGCTGGGCACACGTGCAGCATGTCTGCATGCCTTGTGCACACATGCACCTCCACACCCACACATGTGCAGCACTGGGCAATCTGCAGCACTCAGCCTGTGCACACGGGCAGCCATCCCACATGTGCACAGGGAGCATGTACACCCGTGCTTGTGCACTTCAAGATGAAGGCATGCACAGTGCACAAAGTGTGCTGCACGCACAGCACAGTGCAGGTGTGCAAGGGGTGCGTGCACACATGCTGTGCAGGTGCACTCACTGGTGCCTGCCTGCACCCCCGCAGACGTGCAGCACTCTATGCGTATATGCAGCGTGCAAGCACCAGGGGTGCATACATGTCGAAGCGTAGGTGTGCAAGGGGGTTGCAGATGAGGGTGCACGCATGCCCAGTGCAGGGTAGTGGGGGGGGGGGCGCGGATGTATGCATGCGCTCAATCTCCCCGCACCGCACTCCCAGCTTCACGCCCCCCACTTTGTGCAGCTCTATGCCCGCACGCCCCAGTGCCCGCATCCCCTTCAAACACCCCCAAAACGCCCTAAGCACGCCCCCCATCTCCGCAGGGTGTGCGCATCCCACAATGCACCACCCGTGTACGGATGCTGATGCATAGCAGAGCATCTCCTCCTCCAACCCCCAAACACGGGCACCCCCCACATTACACCCACGCCCGCAGCCCAATGCTCCGCAAAATCCAACCCCGCCCACTCCCTCACGTAA